ATCCGTCTCGTAACGGATCCCGTCAATTGACTCCAAAGCCCTAACGAGTTGGCGCGCAAGGCGTTGGCGCTGCCTTTGGCGAGCTCTCTTCGATAAAATGGACGCGCTTTCTGTACTCAACTCCTTGATTGAGGAGGAATTCAGATCTGCAGATCCGGACTCGTTGGAGACCGGACAGGCATTACGAGGTTCAGCTATCGCAGCAACGGGGGCGTTGATCTTCCTTCGCTTGCGAGAGGCGGAGGATCTGGAGGAGGAAGACGACAGATATTCCTCGAACTTCAGTTGGTCGAACTCGTATTCGACCACTTCTTCAACCGGGATGCAGATCCGAGGTTGCGACACGACAGCTCCGGCAGCGAAGCTGTTGGCTCCCACTGTGGTCGCCAGTTTGTTTGCGTCGAAAATTGATGTATTCATTGCGGTATTCATTACAACTTCAATCGTTACAATGAAAACAAAAAAAGATTGTCTTTTTATAAGACTTTTACACAATGAAAACAAAAGTTTACAACTCTCGTCAAAACAAACGCAGAGATCGTTTATCGGTCTTCTGCTTGCGTGGGATCTTTGCCTGTGCCGGGGTTTATCCGTGGACCGCCTTAGATCTGGATCCGGTTGATGAAAAATTTGGCAGAGCTTCGCCTTCGCCGAGGAAGTATTTGATTTGAAGCGCTGAAATCGACCAAGCGAAATCAGGGCTCTTCTCGAGATTAAGACCAAGCCTAATCTCAAGGGACGGACGGGAACGGGCGTCGGATCTCTCGAACTCTCCTTCTTTATGCCGAAGAACTCGCCAAGATCTGTCAACCCTCGCTGAAATTCGTGCTCCTTTGACTCCACAATCCGGCAGCACCTCCTCGTCTTGATAATCAATCGCCCCCGCTGAAAGGCGCTGATTTCTTGTGTTTTACGACTTTTCCGATCGAGACTTGTAGTTTCTCCCGGTTTGTTTACTCATCCGTCGTGTTGACTTGTATGCTCCACGCGAGTTGATTAATGTACGTTGATTGATGCCATCGTGAACTGATTGACGCGCGCACTGATTGACATGCACGAGCTGAATGATGCGTGCGCGTTAACTGACTGTTGGGCGCGTTTGTACGCTTTGAGTTGATTAACGTGTGCGGTCCACTTGGCGTTTTCCATTGTGGTGGTTCGTTGTCGTGTCATCAACAGTTTGCCGATTCGCTTCATGCGCTTGTCGGCGTTGGATAATCCTCTTTGATTCGGATAACAACGTTCATCACCTTCTCTTTGTCTTGAGCTGTGTGCGGGCACCCATAGGCATTTTTAGACGCCTACAATAACACATTCTCACATATATAATTGAGGAGTTATATATAACACTGGTGATAAGTCTCTACAGTAATTAGCAAAATAGGGGCTATTAAAGGATCCAAACACCTGCAAGATGGAATTGTGTGAACATTGCATACTTAGAAAGAAGACAAAAGTAAAATTCGGCACCGCAATTCATAACACCCAAGGTATATTAGATTACATTCACACAGATGTTTGGGGTCCTTCCAAGAACACATCTCTTTGTGGGGCCATTTAGTTTATCATTTTCATTGATGATTATTTTATGAGGAATTGGGTATATACCTTGAAGCATAAACATGAGGTTCTGGATATTTTTGTGGAATGAAAAAAGAAAGTGGAGCTGCAAACAAGTAGAAAGGTGAAAGTACTCCGTTCTGATAATGGTGGTGAGTACAAGAGTGATCCATTTTTACAGTTTTATCAGGATCACGGTATTAGACGCCATTTCACATTTAGGGAGACACCGCAACAAAACGGGGTGACCAAGAAATTGAATCGTATCTTGTTGGAGAAAGTGACGTGTATGCTCTCACAAAGTGGATTAGCTAGATCATTTTGGGCCGAGGCGTTGGTTTATGCGAGCCATCTCGGTGAATAGGTTGTCGTGCACTGCGATACATGAAAAGACTCCTATTGAGGTATGATCTGGTTCAGTGGCTAGTGATTATGATTTGATTCGGATATTTGGGTGTTCAGCTTACTATCATGTGAATGATAGAAAATTGAATCTGATGGCTAGAAAAGCAATCTTTGTGGGTTTTAGAGATAGAGTTAAAGACTTCAAGTTGTGGGCTCTAGAAGACAAGAAGATGATCATTAGCAGAGATGTCATGTTTGATGAGGCTGACATAATGAGGTCTCAGATTCCTCAGCAGGTGGAGGAAGGCCATACTAGTGAGGTATCTCAGCAGGTGGAGGATGATGTGACTCCACAGACTTCAGATAGCATAGTATCTATTGAGGCTCCTGCAGAGGTGATACTGGGAGGAGATAATATGACAGATGGGCATGTGGAGGATACAATGGATGTTGGGACTCAGGAACTTGGTCATGTTTATGAGTCCATTGTAGCTAATAGACCAAGAAGAATTATTCGTCGGTCAGCCAGATATGATGATGTGATGATAGCATATGCTTTGTCAGTGTAGATCATTGATAATTTTGTTCCTTCTACATATAAGAAAACAGAGTTAAGCTCTGATTCAATTCGGTGGAGGGAAGCTATGGAGGAGAAGATGCATTCTCTTCAGAAGAATGACACTTGGAAACTTGTAAAATTATCAAAGGGTAAGAAAACAATTGGATGCATGTGAGTATATGCAAAGAAAGAAGGATCTTCTAATGGAGACATTTGATACAAAGCTAGATTGGTTGCTAAAGGGTATGCCTAACTTGAGGATATTGATTACAACGAGGTATTCTCACCTATTGTGAAGCATTCATCGATAAGAATACTATTGACATTGGTGGCACAGCTGGATTTGGATTTGATCCAGATGGATGTGAAGATAGCCTTTCTACATAGAGATTTAGAAAAGGTGATCTATATGTCATAACCGATGGGTTTTAAAGCTACAGGCAAGGAAGATTTAGTATGTAAACTAAAAAATCTCTTTATGGATTGAAACAATTACCGCAACAATGGTACAATAGATTCGATAGTTTGATGATTGGACAAGGGTACACAAGGAGCTCATATGACCCGTGTGTGTACATGCACAAACTACAGAATGATGAGTATATTTATTTGTTGTTATATATTAACGATATGCTCATTGCTTCCACGAATACTTTAGCTATTAGGAAGTTAAAAAAGAAGTTGTCATCCGAATTTGAGATGAAGGATCTTTAAGAAGCAAAGAATATATTGGGTATAAAAATTAAGAGAGATAGGGTGAAGGGAAGGTTGAAGTTGACTCAGAGGAGCTACTTGCAAAAGATGCTGAAGAAATTTAGCTTTGATGGCAATACTAAGGTGATGAGTACTCCATTAGCTCCACACTTTAAGCTATCAGCTAAGATGTCACATGTTTCAGTTGAGGACCGTGAATACATGCCTAAAGTTTCATATGTCAGTGTTATGGGTAGCTTGATGTATGTTATGGTATGTACAATGCCAGATTTATCACAGCCGTGAGCATGGTGTCTAGGTACATGCACGACCCCGCGAAGGATCATTGGAAGGCCGTGAAGTGAATCTTACGGTATATCAAAGGTACCGTGAATGTTGATTTGGTATTTGAGAAGAATGGGAGCAATGGACAGGATTGTGTTGGATATGTGGATTCGGATTATGCTAGGGATCTTGACAAGCATCAATCTACTACTAGATATGTGTTTACACTAGCAGGAGTACCGGTGTGTTGGAGATATACACTTCAGTCTACAGTAACTCTTTCTATTACAGAGGCAGAGTATATGACGTTGTCTGAAGCTGTGAATGAAGCTTTGTAGTTGCAGGGGTTATTATATAACTTGGGGATTGCAAAGGATACCATTAGGGTAAACTGTGATAGCATATCAGCTATCTATTTTGTAAAAAACTAGGTGTATCATGCTCGGAAAAAACACATTGATGTCATGTTCCATTTTGTGCGAGATGTCTTGGATGATGGAGATATTATATTAGAGAAGAGCCACACAAAGGACAACCCGGCAGATATGATGACCAAAGTTGTCACTAGGGTAAAATTTGGTCATTGTTTGGAGTTGTTAAACATTCTTCGTTGTTGAGGGCCTTTGGAGACCATTTGGGTGAACTACGCGAGGCTTGATTCCTTAGGCAAGAGGATACGTAGGCAGTCAGTTTGATGCAGCCAGTTTGATGAGTTGATACCGATATGATGGAGATTATTCACATTCTCATTTGGGTTCCCGACTTGTTGTGGATTGAGTACGTTGTCGTGGATTAATTCCACTTCGTATTGGACGCAACGAGTGGGATGATTGGTATCGGGATCGACTCAGTTTTGAGAAAACTTCACCGATGTGAAGAATTGTAGAAACAGTGACGAAGAACAAGAAAAACGAAAGAGACATTTGGGTGTTGGCCGGTCGACCGCGAGGACAATCCCGGTCGACCGAATTCATGCACAGAACAGGGGAAGTTTCGGCTCCCTGGCCGGTCGACCGCGAGCTCAAGCTCGGTCGACCAAACCCTGTTGATTCTGCAGGCTGAATTTTCAGCCTGCTGGCCGGTTGATCGCGGGAAGCAGTCTAGTCGACCGCGATGCGGTTTTAGGCCTGGGCTCGGTTTCCTGATCTGTTTATGTTTTGTGTTTGATATAAATACAAACACGTTTTAGGGTTTCTAATATAGCACAAAAAGAGAGACTTTTGAGCACTTTGTCTGGAAGAATTTGTGAGGGATTTGAGAGTTTTGTTTGTAAGATTAAATTGAGTGATTGTAATCTCTATTTGTACTCTCTCTCTATTAGTCAAAACTATCACATCCTTGCTCTGTGGACGTAGGCACATTGCCGAACCACGTAAAATTGATGTCTTGCTTGTGTGGTGCTTATTTTTTAGTTGTTGATTTGTGCTCCTATCTCGTTCGTTTGTTGTGTTTCGGCTTCCGCTGGGCACAACAGTAACATTACCCATCCCCTTGTTTGCAAAATGCATCAATGATATATTATAGGTGAATACATTGGGCGCCACCTCACCCTGTATCTTCACCTTCGTAAGGAACTCAACTGCTGAGCTCCGAGACTACACAGCCCTTTGATAATAGTATTATAAGTGACCACATCAGGCTTGCATCCCCACTGAGGCATTTTATCGAGCAGCTTGGCCTCATCGTCAACCTTGTTTCGTTTACAGAGGCCGTTGATAAGGGAGTTGAGAGCTACAACATCAACGGTCCAGCCTCGTTTAATCATAGAGCAAAAGAATCCATAACCAAGACCCACACGCTTCATGCCGCTGCAACAGTCGATCAAGATGCTGCAGGTGTGGTCATCAGGTGAAATGCCTCCGACCCAGTTCATCTTGTTGAACAACGAGATGATTAGATTTGGATTTTGATGGTGGGTCTTCTTGATTGTTCCGAGGACCGAAATGAGCAGGCTATTGAATGAGGAAACCGGTGGCTTGGGATTCGAATCGAGCACTTGATCGAACACACCCAGCGCCTCTCCGATCTCAAGGTGACTAGTTGGCCGGCAGCGTTGCTTGACAATGTCCTGTAATTTTCTCGTGTTGTCGAGAGAAGAAGAGGATCGGCCATGGCCATAGATTTCTTCATTAGTTTCAGATTTGGAGAGGAGTATGGCTGACGAAGAAATCTTCTTCATTTTCAGCTCACGACGATTTACAGAGATTTAGCTGAGTGGGGCGTTTTAATGTGGGTTTTTTTTTCAATACTAGTTTCAGACCCGTGCGATGTACGGATTTATTTAATATACAAAAATTGATGTAGCAAAAGAATACAAACAGTTCAAACAGTTTACGAAGCGTTCAAACAGATTACGAAGCATCTTGTTTGAAAAATTGAAAAGGCAGGGAGAATTAGTTCAAATCTCAAGGAGAACTTTTTATTTTTTATTTTTTATTTTTTATTTTTTATTTCAAATTTAATATGGAGAACTTTTGTAAAAACTTGACAAGTGGCACTTGCAAGAAGATAGCAATTGATATGTTTGCCAAGTGTTGTTTAAAATGGTATGGGTCATTTTTGCCAAGTGGCATTTTTACCAAGTGGTGAATTGAAGGGTAACAACTTTTAGTAATAGTATATAGATTAGCCCCTGATATCTTTCATATTTTGGACGTATTCGTCAAATCATTGAAATTGCTATTAGGCCCCTCAACTCGTAATTTATTTGGATTAGCCCCTCCAACTGAACTCAAAACTAAATCCCCTTCCTCATCCGAATCTGTTCTTAGAAATCTCCGCTCAGTTCTGCTGCTGCAATCACTTAATCATGAATGAGTTAATCATGAAAGTGCATATGTACCGGTTTGGGCTCTACAATCAGCTCTAAAATCATGCACTAGAGACTAATTTACCATATTGATCATTTGTAGTTACGCTGTAGAGGTACAACTCGTCCCTAATTTAATTCTCATAATTAGTCCATTGATTCTCCATTAACAGCTCACTAACTTACCCATTATTCTCTTATTATACACGCGGGTGATTAATTTAGTCAAACATTTGCTAACATATTATACCTGCTCTTCAAAACATTGCTCAATAACCATCAACAGTGCATGTAAATAAATAAATAAAACGTGCATGCATTTAAAAAACAAGGAAGGGTGGATCGTTCATCAACTTTCTTAAAGATGATCCTGCCCATTATCTCAAGCAACAAAACCAGTAACTATTATAGTGCCAAGAGAATTTTTATGTTAGGCTATAATTAAGGACAAATTTTCGTTTTAGGCCTTTTTAGAAACTTATTTACAAAAAACGACCTATTTTAAAAATATTTGTCAAATTCGACCCAGTTTCAGTCAGTTGGTTGAAACTGGGTCGAATTTGGCGAAAAAACATCTAAAACTTTACAGGACTTCAAGTTCCGTGAAGTTTAAGCCCCAATTACTAACTTAATTAACGAAGTAATGGGGGCTTAAACTTCACGGGACTTGAAGTTGGATGTTTTTCACCAAATTCAACTCAGCTTCAACCAACTGGCTGAAACTGGGTCGAATTTGGCAAATATTTTCGAAGTAGGTCATTTTTTACAAATAAGTTTCTAAGCGGGTTTATTTGCTAAATTCGACCCAGTTTCAACCAGTTGGCTGAAACTAAACCAAATTTGACGAAAAAACATCTAAAACTTCACGAGACTTCAAGTCACGTGAAGTTTAAGCCCCAATTACTAACTTAATTAACTAAGTAATGGGGGCTTAAACTTCACGGGATTTGAAGTTGGGTGTTTTTTCACCAAATTCGACACAGTTTCAGCCAACTGGCTGAAACTGGGTCGAAGTTGGCAAATATTTTCTAAGTAGGTCGTTTTTTACAAATAAGTTTCTAAACAGATTTATTTTGAAATTTTTTCCTATAATTAACCATCCATAATTTCTTGTGATACCAATAATATGTTCAGAATAAAAAAGGTAAGCAAAAGACTAAAAAGAACATAGATGATTGGAAATAGAAGGGCAACAAAACCATGAGCAATGTAGCTTTGTCGCGCTACAACCCAACAAAACATTATGAGGAAAAAGGAGCCCTCAGATACAAATTCTACGGATCATGGAATAAAAATAATCATTGAGTTTCAGTTTGCAACATGATACACAAGAATCATCCATGGCCCTCCGGTGGTAGTTATTGAAACCGAGGACTTTGCTACGCACTTTCAATACTAGTTCTGTAGCTTATCTTCACCAGTAATCCTTACAACTGCAACTACCCCCTTTAAACAAATGAAACCTAGTCCTATCTCTAACAACAATTTCTCTATCATAAACCTTTGAAATGAGCTTAGTTACGTGATGACAATCACCACAAACCCTCAAATTCTTGACAATTCTAATCCTCATCCCATCCTCAGTACTAATCAAACCTAAGGCAATTGCTAGTTTCTCACCGTGTCGAGCAAGTGCATCATCTTTCTCCTCTTCATCAATGTTCAACAAAACTTCCCTCCGATCAGGCACATACCCTTCGATTCTTATTCGATACTCAATCTCTTCCCATTTTGCCAATATTTCATTTATCCGAGGATGTGAAGTATCTCCCACCAAAAACTGATGAATGATGCCATTAATCTCGATCAGGCTACAACCAGGAGTTTTCTCGACGCCCTTTTGCTCCATCAGAGTTCTTACCCTACGAGCATCATCGTGCCTCCCAGTGGAAGCATAAATGTTGGCTAATAGAACATATACACCGCTGCAATCTGTCTCTAATCTAATCAAATGATTTGCAACATACTCTGCAAGCTCTACATTCTTATAGAAGCGACAACCCGCCATGAGAGCCCCCCAAATTAGGGCGTCCGGCTCCATTTGCATAGAATCTATTAAACCTCTTGCCTCATCTAGCAACCCGTTTCGAGCCAAAAGATCCACCATGCACCCATAATGCTCAATCTTAGGCTTGATTTTGTATCGCTTAATCATCGAGTCAAATAGCTGGCGACCCTGGTCAACTAACCCAGCGTGTGTGCAAGCACAAAGAGCGCCTATGAAAGCAATATCGTCTGGCACAATCCCACACCTCTCCATCTCTTTAAACATCCTCAACGCTTCCAACCCTCTTCCATGCATCGCCAACCCCTTGATTACGGTCGTCCACGCCAGCACATTCCTCTCGGGCATTTCCTGAAAAACCCTCAACCCTATCTCCACCTCCCCGCACTTCACATACATATCCACCAACGAAGTTCCCAAAAACACGCTAACCCTCCTCCCCTTACTCCTCAAATAGCCGTGTACCCACTTACCCTGCTCCAAAGCGCCTACATGCGCACAAGCCCCCAGGACGCTGACCAGGGTCCGGTCCTCTGGCTCAAACCCCTCCTCTTGCATCCTTGCAAACACCTCCAATGCCTCCTTCGACTTCCCACAACTCAAAAACCCTGATACCATAGCCGTCCAAGAAACCGCATTTCTTTCAGGCATTTCATCGAACAACTTACGGGCATTCTCAAAATCACCAAATTTGAAGTAGCCGCTAATCATTGTATTGTAAGTAACAGGGTCTTTGATTAGAGATTGAGAAAAAAGGCGACGAGCATTGGGGAGATCGTAGGAGTGGAGGAGGGAGTTGAGAACAAAGAGGTGTGAGAGGAGGCCGAGCTTGAGGGAGTGGGCGTGGAGGAGAGGGAGGGAAGGAGGGGAGAGAGACGGGGTGAGGAGAGCGGGGAGAGTGTGGGAATCGGGACGATGGCCGAGACGGAGGAGGTGAGAATAGAGGAGGAGAGGGAGGGGGTTGTGGGCTTTGGAGTGGGCCTTGGAGTGGGCCCGGATGAGGAGGTTGTGGAGGAAGAGGGAGGGGAGTAGGAGGCCCGATGTTGTTAGGTGGGCCTGGATTTGGTGGAGTTGGGTTGGATTTGTGCAGCGGAGGATAAGTTATTCCGTACCTAGATTGACCGTTTTCTACTATTGAATGTCTCATTTAATATCACTGTTCTTTGTCTTAATTTACCTCGATGCATAGGGATAGTACTCAGACATGAATTGCCAACATACTTGTCAAGGTTCTTTGCACACAAAACATTTCTTGTAATTTTTAATGTGTACTATATTACAGATTCCCCAACCCAATTTTTTAAGTTCGGTTGGTGTTTTTGGCGCAATCACACCAAAAATGGGAGAGTTATTGAAATATTAGCACAACAGAAAAGATCAACTAGGCTTCAAGTAGACAAATTTCCCTCACTCTCCGCTCAGCGCTAACTGGCCGCTCTCCTCTCATCTCCTCTTCTCTCTCTTCTCTTCTCCTTCTATTTCCTCCACTCTCCGCTCAGTGGCTACTGCCACTTTCCTCGTTCCCCGTCTCTCTCTGAACCCAGCCACGTCCTCGCTCACCATCCTTTCAACCTAGACGGAAAAAATTTCCGTCTAGGTTGAATCAAACTAGAAGGAAATTTTTCCGTCTAGGTTGATCCGTCTAGTTTGGGTCAAACTAAACGGAAAATTCCGTCTAGTTTGACTAACGAGATGGAAAATACAACCTAGACGGAATTCCGTAATTCCGTCTAGGTTGACAGGCAACCTAGACGGAATTCCATCTAGGTTGCCTAGGGCAACTTACT